ATTGGTTTTTCGGATGTTCCTTGACTTTCCATCTTCTAGGCCCCTCCAAGCGGATGCGTCAGCACCATTCTGCTTTCGATCTAGCGCGTGTCCTTGCAAGGTGAAGGACACGCTCTAAAATCCTGGAGCAAATAGCAGACTTGTCATCATGGACCACAAAGACCACTTGAAAGGAACTATAGCAAGTAGGGGAATCCGTGAGACATAACAAGAGTCATGTCAACATGAAGCTAATCATCAACAAATCCACTCTGCAAAAGGACATCACCTTCCCACAGGGTCCGGGTACCTCCTTAGGGTGGTCTTGGAGGTGAGTTCATACTTCCAGAGAAGGGTCGAACAGGCCAAAGGACATCCTCAGGAGGTACCTGGACCCTATGGGCTTCGTTTACTCTTCAGTTTCTTGAGGCGTTGCTTCTTGGACGCCGCCTCCGACCCGCACCCGCCCACCAGGGCGAGCCCCGCCGCTCCCTTGTGATGACGCCCGCCTCGCAGCGCGGCGCGACGGGTTGACGACCTGAGTCATGGGGCGTCACCGGAGCCTGAGTGGCACAACAACGAGAGGTCCACATGGAGAACAGCTCCAGGATCAGAAGCACTTATGGTGGATTCGGAGGTTTGATATCCCTCTACAGCTACATGTCTTTGAAATGGGGTCCCATAGTAACCACCAAAGCTGTGGATTGTGCCATCTACTCTCCATCCACTATATATAATATATATACATGTTTCATCATGAAACGTCGAGCAAGGCAGGCGTGGCGCTTGTTTTCCGGTGAGGACATGTTATTGATTTCTGGTACCGATCAGGAGGAAAAACCTCCTGAGTAGCTGGAGCAATGTGCGAGCTCAGCTTAACCTATGCGAGCTTTCTGTGGCCTGGAGACCATGTCCATCGCCAACGATCATAGTGAACTTGATGTTGCGCCGCAAGCCGCAGAAGACGAGGGTTGGTCAGCCATTTTTTGATTATTTTTGTCAAAGTCCTGTTAGTTGGAGAGCTTAAGTCTAATGTTTTCCCAAAGATTTGCCTACATTGAAATTGGGGTGGTTGCGAAGGGGTCAATGTGGGCTTAATGCTTTCCGATTGCTTTCCGTAACTTTTCTGGAGTTTGATTTTGGAGGTGGAAACAAACTGAAACAAACTCCACACCTGAAACAAACTCCAGTTTCTGGATGTTTCTGGCGGATGTTTCCGATGTTTCCAGATACAGACTCCTGAACACTAACTCCTAAAGGAACCTACTTCGAATGGCTAAATCTGTATTCCACATGTTTGTCTAAATGTTTTTCCGGAATCGACCTACCACGAGCGAGCCTTTCCTGCGGGCCCGGCGCTGAATTCATGCACAGGCTTTGGGATTCACAGCGAGGACGACCCCCAGGGAGGAAGATGTTCGATGTTCGATGTCGATCTTGGAAGACTGGAATTCTGCAACTCTACGCCATCAGCTGAGCATGGAAAACTGGAGTTCGCATGCAAAAACACGACTCTCGCGGAGGTCAATAGCAGGAACAGGAGACTGGACCTGGGTCAGACTGGGCTGGCAGGGGCAGCATGTGAATCCAGAATGTCAGATGCACAGACCGAACTTGGCTTCGAATCGGGCAAGCGACGGAGTGGCTTAGAATCCCCAACAAATCAACCCCTTGACTGATGGCATACACTCCCCCCTTGAAGGGATTAGCCATGCCAACGTGGATGGCATGGCTCTGAGTTCGGAGGACCGTCCGAAGACCGTGGTTTTCACTCGCTCCATGTCCATGGTACTCTTACACTCCCCAGTCAACTCACATGTCGACCCTAGCTGACAATGGCCCCCTGGAAGATGGTTTTTGCTCTACCAACCGACGTGGTTTTCAGGGTACATGTTAGTCACTAACAGTCTTCCATGGCGATTATATACGATTATTATGGTTACTATGACAGAGTGTGCTAAGTGAAGAGCCAGCTAAACTCCACTTGCCCATCTAGTCGAGGCCTGGCTGCGTGGCTGCTTAGGAGTTCACTGCTGTCATTGGGCGAGACTTTTCCGGAAGGGTTTTCAGAAGTATATAGTTGCAGCTTAGACACAGCAGCACGGAGCTTGAAACTGCTGATAAATGGCTCTGAGGACGGGCCGCAACTTGTATGAGCACTGTTTCGATGGAAAGGGCAGTCGGGAGGAAAAGATTGAATGATATTGAATGAAAGTTCCGTTCTATCGGAAGTTGACCTAGGGCAGCAAAAACATGGAGTTCTTGTCAGATGCCAATTGAAAGCACCAGCCCATGTCAAGGGTGAGGCATTTCTTGAGTTTTAAGACTATACCCTAGGGATCCACATGCCTTCTCAGGTACGGTGATTGGAGACTATTTATGTAGGCGCCAGGAGGGCCCAGTCGTACCTCCTGAGGTTCAGTACTCGTATGTGCCTAGGGAGAACTTACTCTGGAGGGAGTGACCTGGATGTATGGAGTCTGGCATGGCTACATGTTGACCTGTTCAAAAAGGCCGTGTGACAAAGGTTGGAGCTGGGGGGGTTCTCTCCACTTCTTTCCTTCCAACACGAACTCCAGCGCCATGCGAAGCCGTCGAAGCGGCGGCACTTTTCAGCTTTTCGTTCGGCCAATGTCTTGGGAAGGGATCTCCCAACAATCCATGGGACTGGACGGGTTCCAACGAGTTACAGCTATATTCTGACGTTTTGTAGAAAAACATGATTAACCGATGTTAACAGTTAATACTATCTATCCTTAATACTACTGTATCCATGATCATCCACGTAGACTACAGTATATCCATGACATGGATTGATGTGCCCTTGATGCCGTTGGGGCGGAGCGCGCAGACGATGTCGCACTTCTGGGCGGACCACGTCCGAGTGGGGTCGGCTTTCGCGGAAAAAGACAGCGATGGCTCGAGTAGCCCTGAGTTGAGTAGGATTTGGAGAGCTGTGCGATCCCTATTTCTAGGCCTGGTTTTGCTTATAAGTTGATTTTTTCTCTATAGGTACAGTTAAAAAACCTAACCTGGCCATGAGGAATACTATTTGTTGCTTCCGGTTCCTGCACGGCAAATTCAAACAAAAAGGAGTGCAAATCTTCACCTGCAGGTCACAGGACTTTTGGGTAGGGACCGGTTGTCAGTGGCGCTCACCGGATGGAAGGGCCTTCGCTTTGTGGGACAACCGAAGAGCGGCCGCTACGCGACAAGAAGCCCTGCGTTGCGCGACAAAAGAGATCACATTTGATTCATTCCCAGACACTCCATGTCTATCATATATGCCTAAAATGACCCCCCAAACCACCCCAATGTATGTAAACAAGGTGAATATATGGTGCATATATATCTCCATACATGGACGGTTTGGCATTTAATCTCAGGTGACGGACCTCAATGGTGATCAAACCAATGATTACATGTGTGTTCGGCTTTCTTGGGGTCATTGGCTTGATTCCGCCGACGAGCGGAGTCATGAGAAGATGGTGCTTGTGGAGGGTTCATTCTTGGGTGGTCAGTCAAGTCGGACGAAGATCTCCAACAATAACAAAAACAGGCATCATAGGCATCCAGCATGTCTGTTTGGGATTGTTTCGGGGTGTCCCAGTGAACCAGCAACAGTAGCCGGTAAACATGAATACCACGATTTATCATCCGCCGGGGTGAGGGAAGAGGATGATAGCCAACGAAGACCTGCAGACATCCTTAGACATCCAAATGATGCAAGAAAGAAGGTTGCTGGAACTCAGGACCTGGCATCCTTACGAAGCATTGAGACATGTGAACATGTAACATGTGTTGCAGATCCCACTACTATAAGAAGGCTTTACCAGCAGGACATCCCCAATGGAATCCTGAGATCCAATATTGAACTTCGGAACGCTTGAAAGCTCGAGGTCACAGCGCTTGCAGAGCTCGAAGGCAGCTGTCTCCGCTGCGTAACGGGAATGATTTTTTTCGGGGAAAAGGACATGACATCGGTTGATTCATTCATTGCATTCTATCACGCAGAGCTCCAATTCCACTTGGCAAGCTGCTTCTACTCTTTGGAGTCCTCGGCCATCCTCCTGCGTGACTCCTTAGGGGTCCTCAGCTGCTTGAGGACGCTGCTTCTGGGTCAAAAACCACCTGGTGTTCACCCGCCCCATCCGTCCGGACCGGTGCCTTCCCCACCGTGCCAGCTTCCCGTCGTGCCAGCTTCGTAGCATTCCGGTGTGCGGGGTGGGGTGTACGGGGAAGTGTTAACCAAGTCTAACACGGAGCCGCAAGTCGTGTTATTCAGAAGCTTTTGACCCACCACCACCCATCCTGCTGGTCAGTGCCGCAGTTTCACCTCACCACACCACGGTCAGTGCTGGTCAGGCTCTCCATTTTTGCTGAGCGCAGATGGCAAGGGATCCTTGTCTTGCTGGGATGTCTCGTTCGGGAGCCTCAGCGACGACGGAAGCGACGCGAAGCGGGTGGAGTGAAACCTCACCACCTGGCAGGTAGAGGAAGCTACTCGACTCAAACAGCAGGTTTAGTTGTTCATTTCCATGTTGAGTGAGTCAGACTGTAGTAATGCTATGTAAATGGTTCACCCTTTCTTGGCCACTGACTGGCCCATTCTTTGCTAAATGGCTAGAATTCCGCCTGCAGCCGAAGGCCCAGCGTGAAGAGCAAGGAACCTTTCCTGATTTTTGAAGCTCATGACGCTGGTATCAACCAGGCCGGGGAGCTTTTTCTTTGTTCCTCTTCGATTGGCCTGTCATCTCCTTGCTGCAGGGACAGAACGGAGATATGAAGGGACATGATGTTATTTTGCCGTTTCTGTAGCACCGACACGTCCAATCCACTGGAGGCTCGAAGCGTTTGTGCCGTGGGTTTGGCATGGATTTTGGCATGAGCATGGCCAGTTCATCCATTTTCACCTCTTGATCCCAAGCCTGTTCAACGTTCTGTTTTTTAAGCAAACATTTAACTAAAAACTCCAGGACTACGACCTGACTACGATTTATATAACGCATGTGTTTCCAAGAGTTCTCAACTACTACTTGTAGCCCCTCGCACCTGCATCACGCTGAGTATCGGCCATGCTGGGCACTGTTCTGCGCTGCTGGGCACTGCTGGGCGCTGTCTCCGCCGTGCATGTGGCCTTTATCGCCCCACCGGCCTCACACTATGCGCCCATGCTGCCCATCGCACATGGACTGCTGGATGATGGACATCAGGTGAGGTCAAACAAACCCAATGATGTCATTCCGCCCCCTGTTTTTCTGGTTTTGGGATGCAGAAGTCCATGGAAAACAGATGCTTTCTGTGATGAGCTAGTCTTCCACCTCAGAGTTGGAAGCATCAAACTCTTGGGCTTGAAATGTTGGATGAGCACTGATGAGGGTTGTCTTGCAGGTGCTCAGGGGTTGTGTTGACCTCAACGACCTGGTTGAACAGGTCCTGTGGAAAATACCAAAGCCTCCAAGCATGTAAGTGGCAAACTGATTCTCTAGGAGCCCTACTGATTTGCAACTGGCGTTTGCTGAACCACCGTTTTGCTCAAGATGTTACACAGTTACACCACAACACCACGTCACGCCAACCATGTGTTCATTTCTTTGAAGGCTATGAGATCTTATCCCATGTGCAGGTGAGCTTCGTGGGGTTTGATGAGACGGTGCAGAAGATCAAGAAACTGGTACCGAAGGCAGGACTGGTGGGCATTGGCACCAGCCCTTTTGATCGGGAGAAGATGGCGCCGATGCAGGTGCTTTGGCTGAGGGGCTTTTGGCGCCCTACCAGCCCCCAACCAATGGGTGAGGGAGGGGTGGGCGAGGGTAAAAAATGGTAAAAATAGCAGTTGTGTTTGCAATTGTATGCTGGTGAATGATCAACGAACACAAAATAGCATGTGCTTGAACGTTTGAAAAGGAATGTAAGTCTGTTTCGTCGACGTTAGCTGTGCTTCTTCTTCCACCGCTAGACTTCTTGGGTTTTTGAGAGTTCCAGGGAGTCGAGATGAGGTGAGGTGAAGATCCTGACGGCGAAGCATCATTTCCACTTACTCCCATCCAGTCACATGGAGTTGGGTGGTTTGGCTCCTCCCATCCAGGGGCTGTGGATGTGGAGTAGCTGGGCACCGTCCACCTCCGACCTCCGTAAGTTCGGCACCCCCGTCGAACGTGACTGCCGGTGTACAGGAGGTGAATTCTTTCCCTGGGCTAAGGGTCATGTTTAACGGTGCCCACTGAGGTCACATGGCTTAGGCTTAACTTTTTGTACAATATGTTTCTTGAGGTGTTAACATTTTGTGTTCAAAAAGAGGTTATTTACAAAGAGCAGTACACCATGTTTCTGTTCTGTACATGATGTACAACAATAGTGTTACCATTTTCTTAAGAGGTTACCATGTTCTTCTTGCCCATCCTAAGGAATTCATCCAGAGCGTCGAGTACAGCAAGGCACAGGTCTTCACTTCCATGGCCGCCCCGATGCTGGGCAACATGATGGGGGGTCCCATGGCCACGGGCATGAAAAGGCAGCTGAAGGACCTGGTTTTTGCTTCGGGGGATGGCAGTTTCCCTAGATGGTTCAATCCCCCTCCTGGGAAATCCATTCTATTTTTCTCCAGGGCTTCAGTCGTACCTCCGAAACGAAGGTGTTTGGACCCTCCTGGCACCCACCCCAGTTCCACCTTCGATACGAAGGCACGACTGGAGCCCAAACGGGTTAAGCAAATCCAAGAGGAGTTGAAGCCGGATGTTCTTTGCGTCTCTTTCATGTACCCCATCTTCTATGCTTTGGGCGAAGTACTCGACATCCCACTCGTCGGCATCGGCTGGGCGGCTCCAAGCTTCCTGACTGTGCAGATCGACCTGCCCTGGGCCACCGAGCCCAATGTGGGCTCCATCCATTCGCGGCAGGAGATCTATGAGAATCCCAGGCTCTTAGTGGAAAACACCCTGGCACCTTGGCGTGAAACATGGAATATGATGAGTATGTGTCGTATGTGCCACACAAATCCACACAATTCCACAGGTTTCCTCAGCTTTTTGTTGCTGCAAGTGTGCTTCTTGATACCCTGATGAACCTGTTTAGTCCGAGAAAAAGACGTTCGTTTTAGTCCAGGTGCGGATTCTGGGGTTCTTGGCACTTCGCCTGGGCAGCACGGTGAACATGTGGTATCGCTTCCAACTGGGCCATCCCAGACCTTTGGAGGTTTGGGAGTTTGACAGCGTCTTGCAGCATCCGCTGCTGCTCACATCTCTTCCAGAACTGTCCGCCGGACTGCCTTCCCTACTGGGGCCCTACACCTTTCCAGTGGGCATTTTGGACCATTTGGCTTTGGAAGGGAGTGGCATGATGAAGAGCGATGACCAAGAGAAAATCATGACCTGGCTCGATGCTCAACTCGCCCAGAAGACCAAGGTCCTTTATGTGGCTTTCGGGTCAGAGGTACGGGTGGGCAAGGCTCACGCCAGCCTCTTGGTGGACGCCTTCCAGTTGGGGAACTTCACCGTTCTGTGGGCCACCAAGGTCGCGCCAACGGTGCCGGTCCCCGAGCAGGTGCTGGTCACCAAGTTTGCGCCCCAGCGGGCGGTGTTGGCCCACCCGGCGGTCTTCGGCTTCGTGTCGCATGGGGGGATGAATAGCGTCAATGAAGCACTGGCCTTCGGTAGCTCGGCGGGATTGACAGTAGAAGATCTGATTGACATGGTTAGAAGCCAGGTATTCTTTGGGGAGGCATGTGTTCCTGTTTTTCAATCATGCATAATCCAAAAACATTATTAATACATATTTACATTATTATGCAATATGTCATGTTTTTTTTCTAGAAAAAGTGGTGGGTGTCAGGTAAGCCTATGGCCATCATGCCCTTCTTTGCGGATCAGATGATGGTGGCAGCTGTCCATCGTGATTTGGGCGTCGCAGTGCTGGTGAACAAGAACGAGGCCACTCCACAATCCTTGGCAGAGTCCTGGGCCATTGCGGATCAGGTAGTGTTTTTGATTTTCCCGAACTGGTTCAATCCCCGAACCTGGGGGAATCCCTAGCTTCCAAGCACCATTAATAGGCTGAATCCCGAATCAACTAAGGATTTTACACCACAACCAGGTCAACCTATAGGGGAATAAGGTGTTTGCTTTTTTTTGTTGCAGGTTCCTTAAGCAAATCCAAGGAGTCCATCAACACGATCGCCAGCGAAGCGTTTCAGCGACGAGCAGCACAGATCCGGAAGCTGAATGAAGAACGGAAGGATATGTCCCGAGCAGTTGAGGTGATTGTGAACCAAGCAAGTGGGACATTCCATTTGCATGTGCCTCCTTGTCCACATATTCTGATTCGCTGTGTTCCATTGTTCCTGACGCTTTTGATCTGGGGAGCCTGCTGCAACTGCTGCGGCTGCTTGCGCGTACGTCCGCAGATTCCTTGTGCGTGCTGCCGGTTTGTTTGCTGCAGATCCAGAAAGTCCAGGAGTGGACGGAAGAAACAGGATTGACTCGCACAACTTGTCAGTGCAATGGAAATGTCGTTCCACTAGTGTTCCATACAATTGACCTAGGACCTAGGATGCATGCCACAACCGCCTTGGTTGGCTGCCGTGCGTCCTCAGATTCCAAGTCCGCGCGGAAAAGTTCTCATCCGCAGCACCGAAGGAGGAGGAGTGCTCAAGACATTCCTGTGCAGAATTGCCCTGAATCCCTCACACTTCATACCCTAGGGCTCCAACCATATCCTCAGGAGGTGGTTAGACCCCCCTGGCACCCACCCCAACCATCTTCTCAGGAGGTGGGCCAGGCGCCCAAACGAGATATGTCAGTTGGGGCGCCACCGGTGAAATGATTACAACAGTTCTACATTATCTATTTTCAATAGTAATGCTCAATGAAATTTAAAATCTATATA